AAACAAAAAAAAAAAAAAAAAAAAAAAAGGGGGGGGGGGGGGGGGGGGGGGGGTCTCTTCATCATAAAAAAAAAAGAGTAAAAGAAAAATAGAAGAAAAAGAGAAAAAAGGAAAGAGGGATTGGGGGATAAGCATCTGTCTCCTTTTTTTATGAAAGAGATATATTGTCTTTCTTAGCTTAAGCTCTACAGGACAGAGCTCTTGCTTCCACTATTCTTGTACATTTGGCTTGTATAATAAAGATTTTATCTAAATTCACACTCTCTCTTTCTCTCTTGTATTTTGACTTTATCATCTTCACCTGTAGGCTTTTAGTCCACAATTGGCCCAAAGTACAACCTGACATCATCCACCAGAAAAAAACAAGATTCAATATCATCTCAGGTGCGGCGAGCATGGATCCGATGCCAAAGGCAAAAAAATCGTCATCTGCAGGGCGACCTAAGGCATCGGTAAACACAATGAACCCATAATACAAAACTTGTCGCGAACAACAAGAAATGGAAGAATGGCTTCCAAAATCTATTTAGGACAGCCTTGCTGTTGCTGGCATTCCGCCTCGAACCGTCAACACACCTGAAGGATCAACATACCTTGGTGCTCATTGTGTGCTTCCAGAAAGAGTACATGCTTCAAATTCAGTCGCCAACCCTACTCAACTCCTAGCAAGAGATGAAGATTCCAGCCAGCCAACCAGACAGATCAAAGAAATCGAACTTGGGTCGACCAACACTCTTTCTCGATCAATCTTCAAAGAAAGGGCATTTCTCAAGTTCAAGGTACCTCAACTAGAAGCTTACAAAGGAAAGACTAATCCCATGGATCACGTGGCGATCTTTGAGTCCATGGCTTCCCTCCTCGACATTGACGATGCCCTCCAATGTTGTCTCTTCTTTACCACTCTTAAAGACTCGGCGCTAAGGTGGTTTTCTCACCTACCCAGTGGGGTGATCATTTTCCATCGTTGAATTCAAATGAATATTCGTCGCACAGTTTACCAGTTCCTAGAAATACTTGAAGTGTTCACAAGTTTTGTTGAAGGTGAGACAATAATATGGCAAGTCACTGAGAAGCTTCATACTCAGGCTCCATAAAGAAATGCTTAACGTGAAAGACCTAGAACTGGCTGTCACTTAAGTAGCTCTGACCCAAGGGCTGAGGGAAGGTCATGTATGATACGCACTTGGCTTACAACAAACGAACATGCTGGAAAAACTATTGGAATTAGCTAACAATCATGTCAATGCTGAAGAATACAATCAGGTGACCGAATCCTCCACAACTGCTTCACGCTATGGAATTGCCGCTAGCAGAAACCTCCCACTAGGGATGGGTGAAGAAAAAGCTCAATCCCGAGAAAGAAGGAACCAAAGACCAAACTTCAAACGCAACTAATGACGCCTCGGCCTGTACGGGGGTGCCCACTCAGCCAAGACCTCTGAGGACAAATGCACCAGCACCAAGGATTGAGGAAATACGTTGAGAGGTCGCTCGCTGGCCCTAGACGTATCCAACCTATACTCCGCTAAGGGTATCCATGATCGAACTTATAGATGTCATTCATAATAAAAAAAAATTTCAGTGCCCACCACTTATGAAGATTGACAATGCTCGAGATACCTCGAGGTATTGTACCTTTCTCAAAGATATATGCATGACACCGAAGAATGTCGTCACCTATGGAACCTAGTAGAAGAACTCATCAAAACCGGGAAGCTCAAAGAATTCATCTTCGCCAATCTGGAGCAAAGAGCTAAGGCCTCTAAGCACAGAAGACCTCAAGACCTACACGCATGAAGCGAGCTGAGGCCTCTAAGCACTCACCTTCCTAAAATAAATTTGGTCAAATTGGAAATTTTCTTATTGCGAATTCAATTGAAATTTTGAATTCAAATAGTTTCCTATTGTCTAAATCTATGATAGGAAACCTCTCTCTTGATTTAAAATATGATTTAAATTTCATATTTTATTGTTACTCCTTAATTAACACTTTGGGGCCCACTCACTTAAATCAAATCCCTCTCCACCTCTCAAATCATTATGATGATTTTAATCATCATAATGATCCCCTAAATTGGCTCTTGCAATAAAGAGAGGAGTTAGAGAATTTTGAAATTAAAAAACTTTCCTTATTTGCAAAATCCAAATAAGGAAAGTTTTCAAATTTGAATCCGATCTAAATTTTAATTTAGAGAGGACTCATTATTTTCCCTCCTAGTTGGCCAAGCTTGTTTGGAAAGAGCTTAATTCCCCACAATTCCCTCTCCCCTCTCTTCATGCCGCCGGACCAACATGGGCACATTAAGTCCCATTAAAGCACCCTCTCTCTAATTAATTTGAATTCAAAATTCAAATTAGTTTCCTCCTATTTTACTCAAAACCTGAAGTTATTTTCATATTTGGGATAAAATTTCTTTTCCTCTCCCGGATCTAACCTAATACCCCCATCCAAGCCGCCCCCTCTTCTCCACCTTTGGCCGCCCCTTCTCTTATGTCTCTCCTCTCGTGAAAAGTTGCTCATGATAATTGAATGCACGAGAAGAAGACGATCCCCTCTCGAATCTCATCATTGGTGCATGGCCGATCCTGAAGTCGATCACGGCTTCGCTTACAACGCCCATGGAGAGATCGACATATTCCTCTCTCCCTTCTACGAGCCGGATTGGGAGTACGACAGCACCGTCGAACGTTACGTCAATCGCATCGTTTATTGTCTCGCCGAAACTATCGAGCTTCAACGACCAAGAACTGCGTAGACTCCTATCGGACGACCGCTCACTTCCCCAACTTCGGCTTCTTCCCCGGCGACTAGTCCCCTCGTCGTCACTTGTTTGATAGTGGCATCCTTAAGTGTGCTTGCAATTCTCCTCCGCTAGCCTCCACTTTCAAGAGATTGAGTGAAGGACCTCTTGGTGAATGATCTAGATTTTAAACTTGAGGCTTTTGTTACATTTGTTATTTGCATTACCTACTAATCATTGGTTGTTATTCTGCAAGTCCTACTAATCTCAAATTGCAACCAATTGTTATTACTTAATCTTTCAATACCATATTCTTAAACCTTCACTTGAGCAAACAAAGAGTTTATTGGTAGCAAAGCAAAGTTCACCACCTTATTAATATCTTAATTGCAATTCTTGTCTATCGCATTTAGTTTCACATCATCTTCATCCCTTGTCAATAGCTCGGCAGGCGCTACCTCCTCTCTGGAGGACTCCAAAACCTCTTCGCCTCGAAGACTAGGGAGGATCGCTCCATTCCACAAGTCCACTCCCTCGATTTCTTGGCAATTGGCACCTTGGAACTCGCACCAGCATCAATGTCCTTCTGCTTCTTTGAGTGGACTTCTATATGCACCTGAACATTGACCAAAGGCCTCTATTTCATTCATATGGCCACCTTCGCAACTATGGACAACGAAGCCATGTCCGAGGGAAAAGCGCAACCCACGATTGCTCCTACGAGTCCACAAATACGAAATCAGAGTAAAGTGAGGACTTCGCCTTGTTAAAACAAGCGAACCACTTACCTTAAAAAGTCTTGAAAATGGTCTTATAGGCAACATGGTGAAGAACAATTAGCAGCTCATTCTTCATCAGCCTCAACATTGCTTCCTCAGGAGGAAAAGAAAAATTCTTCTCACCCACGATTCCTCCAGGAGAGCTAACTTCTTCTTCTTCAGTGGTATCGGAGCAACCAACGCCTTCCATCCGGGTACGCTTAGAAGCACAACAAATTTTGTCTTCTAGTCGCACACCTTGTTTGTCAGGCCAACGGTCTTGCCTGATGCATGCGAAAACTGGATGAAATATTTTTGGAACATCTTCTCTATGAACACATGTCTGTATAGATTCAGTGACCACGGTAAACCACGTTCTTACATAAGAGAAGCAAATGATACAATCGACATCACAAAATTTGGCGACAACTGAGCAAGGATAGCTCCATAGAAATTTAGAACTTCCTCTATTTTGGCACATAAAGGAAACTGCGGTCCCATCATCAAGTGATCAATGAGAATGACCAGTTCCCGATATAGCATCATATTAATTCGCTCGTCATCCTTCATCGACCTTATAGAGTAGTCAGCATGGGCAAAGCAAAAAATATAGAATAGATGATCAACATATTCCTCCATAAGGCGAGTACTCGACAATCTTTTCTCACTGAGGAACTTACTTGCACACTTACACAGATTAGATATATTAGTAGAAATGTTCAAAAACAGAAGCAATAGAGACAAAGTGAAGTCCCATTCTTAGGCCCTACCGATCTCATTTATAGTCTGAATTCGATACATAGAGATGAAAGACCTATTCGACAAGAAAAAAAATCTCTCTTTTTCTTTTTGTTGGAAACTTTCAGAAGTCAAAGATTTAATTCAACAAGGCAATCGCCCTTAGCAAATACATAGATTGAAAGCAAAATCAACCTATGCGGCGACTACATCGGAAACGCTCGAACACAGAATATTTTGCCATACTCCGCACTAATCTTCTCATCCTTTCAAGGTACTCAACGACATACGGAGAAACCCGGAGGAAACCCTCCTACTTAGTCTGACTAAGCATCATACAACACTCAACTTCCATCTAATTTATGCAACTCCACTTGGTTGTCAACTGATCATTCAGCGTGGTTGCTGCACCTCCACAGATTTTCATCACCTGCAGCATTGACCCCCTCAGCCGACATCGAGCTCATCCATAACCTTGGATTTGGTTGTTGACTCCAAGGCTACCAACCTCCCTACAATTTTTTCCAACGAGATTCGCTCTGGTGAAAGGGCAAGATCAGTGAACAAGGTATACGAGAAAGAAGCCAACAGCTGCTCAACAATTTTTCTCGTGGTCCACTCAGCAACCTCTTCGACAACCTTTTCAGCAGCAACGGCGACTCCTTAGCAACTAAATCTTGCCCGGGTGCAATCGCCTCCTTCAGGCCAGCTTCACTCATGCTCTCTAGTGCGCTCTCAGGAGGAAAAGAAAAATTCTTCTCACCATTAGGACCTTCACAATCGCCAATCATACCTCCCACAGTTGGGACAACGGGAATAGTCGTCTCCTTCATCCCCACAGCAGGGCTAGACGACCAATCATCCTAAATGACGATCGGATCCTTGACATCAGCTCGTATCCCGTTCAGCAGGAAATAAGCAGTGAGATTCATCGAGTTCACAGACACTCATGCCTCTCCTTTAACAACAGCCTTACTCCGTATAGCTTCTTCCACATTTGGGGCCTCTATGTCAAAGGCCACTTGCGCTCTCTTATAAGTAGCCTTCCTAGAAGCATGAATGCCAAGAAGAGTGGAAATATTCCTCTCACCATCAGGGCCTTCACAGTTGCCAATCATACCTCCCATAGCTGGGACAGCGAGAACAGTCATCTCCTTCATCCCCACAGTATGGCTAGACGACCAATCATCCTCAATGACGATCAGATCCCCGACATCAGCTCACGTCCCCTTCAGCATGAAACCAGCAGTGTGATCCATCGAGTTCACAGACACTTGTGCCTCTCCTTCAACAACAGCCTTACTCGGTGTAGCTTCTTACACATTTTGGGCCTCCATGTCAAAAGGCCACTTGCACTCTCTGATAAGCAGCCTTCCGAGAAGCATGAATGCCGAGTGGAAATATTCATCTCGCTGAAATCAAGCAAGGCTCACAAGGACCCGAGACGATATTTATAGAGAAACCATATGAAGGTATCGTTCGGTCTCCAAGGACACACAAACCTCAAAAATCCGCAAAGATTTAGGGCGATAAATTTGCATTTACTCATGTTATTTTTTTGGTTTTTCTCCTTTATCAGACCATTTCGACATCTGGTGTTTAAATGGTCGAATAAATTAAGGAATTAAATGTACATCCATGACTACCTGTTCAGGTACCCGTTCACAGGTGTCTTGCAGGTTACATTCGGGTCGAGCGGAAGGAGAACCCCTCCCTCTCGAAACAGTCCATTCGAGGGGCTCACTCAAGAGCTAAGAAGGAGCTTAACACTAGAGCACGACAAACCAACTTTGGCCACATCTTATAAGCAGTCGCCCTCCCTAACAGGGTTAACCTCAGAAGTTCCTCTCTCAGTAGGAAAAATCTTTATCCATCTTGTCCAGAGTCAAGTCTCCCATGTGAGACACATCTACAGTTAAGCTAGCAAGCACAAATCTCCCTTCAAGAGATCTCTTGCAATCAAATCAACCTCGGGATCACATCAAGATACTACTCGCCCCCTCTCAGCTTAACGGGCCGACCTCGGGACAGTTTCCTGTTATACGATAACCTGATCTCCCGATTACATCAAACGCTACTTGCCCCTCTCGCTTCAAAGGGTGACCTCAGATCAACTCCCTACCGACGCAAACTCAATCCATGAGCACACCCTACGCACATCCTCTCCCATGAACGCACATCCCTCATCATAAAAAAATGAAGAAGAAGCAAAGGAGAAAAAAAAAAAGAAAAAGAGGGACCAGGGTTCAGCATTTTCCTCTTTTCTTAAGGAAGATATATATGGTGTCATTCTTAGCTTAAGCTCTGCGGCATAGAGCCCTCGCTTCATAATCTGGCTTGGATAATAAAGATTGTCTAAATCTACATTTTCTCTCTTTCTCTCATATTCTAACTTCATAATCTTCACCTCCAGGCTTTTAGTCCACAGGTTGCTCGAAGTATGACCCAACATCATCTGCCATACAAAACATGATTCAACAATAAGGATCAAGACAACAATGAGATTTGAAATAACGAGATATCCTACAACGATGGCTGCGATGGGGAAACTACAATCTTCTGTTGGCTGACCTAGATGAATATTACTTTATCAATCAACTAGCAAAATGTTCTCATCTGTGGGCCAGTGTGTAACAATAGTAGCCAAATACCAATAAGCAACAGCCCGTTTATTTGTTTAAACTCTAATATTGTTTCTCCTTACAGCATGCTCTCAAAAACAGTTCGCTTGAGTTGGCTTCTATGGAACAGAAGAAAGCGGATGAAGATGTTCTCAAGCTCGTTGAAGATCAAAAGGTCAGTTAACATCTCATAAATGCTCCTTTTGCTAATGCTTTGTTAAAATACTTAATAAATTATATAAAATCTAATGTCATCCAAAGCTCAAACTCGAGAAATTTCACAGAATGAGAAAGAGGATGCAATGAGGAGGATTCTTCTGTTAGAGAAGCAGCTTGATGCAAAGCAAAAGTTGGAACTAGAAATTCAACAGCTGAAGGGAAATCTACAAGTAATGAAGCATATGGGAGGTGAAGATGGTAAAGTAAACAGCAAAATAGAGGAGCTGAATGAAGCTTTAAAAGAAAAAATGGAGGAATTGGAAGATCTTGATGCACTTAATCAAGCTTTGGTTGTTCAAGAAAGGAAAAGCAATGATGAACTGCAGGAAGCTCGAAAAGAACTACTATCTGTGAGGCTCCAACTATGACTTAGTTCCCATTTAATACTATATAGTATTCACATGTGAAAGCTAATAGTTGTATTACAAAAGACTGCCCTCTTTTCCCACACTCTAAGATTCTCTAAGCAACCTAATTTACATTTGCAGGGCCTGTCAGAAATTCTGAACAATCGTACAATAATTGGAATAAAGAGAATGGGTGAACTAAATGAGAAGATATTTCACAATGCATGCATCAAGAAATATCGTAAAGATAATGCAGATGTAAAGGCTGCAGAGCTTTGCTCCAAGTGGCAAGATGAATTGAAAAAACCAGAGTGGCATCCTTTCAAAATGGTCACCGTTGATGGAAAGCTTCAGGTTTGAACTGTTTTTCTTCGCCTCTTATTTACAGACCTAACCTTTTTTAGTTTCAATGGATTGCTTGCACATGCTTTTCAATAACAAAGTGTCACTTGGAAACCGAATTTGTAAGTCCTTTTGCGTCTGCTAGAAAGTTCATAATTTTACTAGTCCTGATTTTATATTGGGGACCTGGATGAAATTTCTGGCCTGAGCTTGTGATAAAGTTGATGAAGTTACGCCCAACCAGCCATAGCAATTAAGAGACTAATGTTCTATTCATGCTTGTGTGTGTGTGTATACACACAAAGAATGGGAGAAAGGGATGAACCTTCCATTACCTAAATCAAGGTGCAATGGCTCAAACTACCTTAGCTGCCTACGTATCCTAACATCCAAGGTTTGAGCCACACATGGTTCCAATAAAGTAAATTGTACTTCTAGAGATTTATTACACATTGATGCCAAGAGAAGATAAAAATACATGACAGCTTCGGATTTGCAAAGACACGAAAACTTCATATGTCAAAAGAGTGATGCTCCACAAAGTGGGAACTGCCAGATACAATCCACATCAAAAGAATGCTATCAGTCCACAACCCAAAAGAAGCTCCACATGTGTGTGACGCAGAAAAAATCTCCCAGTCTTTTGAAATACTCCGTTTTCTCGATGTTTGTCAAAATCCTTACTAATGGAGAATAAAGTTCTGTGATTTATGAATTGAAATCTAAACCTAGGGAAGGAGATCCAAATCGAAGTAATAGGTGGTTCATGTGTAACATCGAGAAAACGGACTATCATAGCATCATGAAGGGAGTATATTTTATGGCAAAGATGTTGGCATAATCGTTACCCTGTCAAAAGCCTAAAAACAACAACAAAAAATCTAATGATCAACATTAACAGCCCTAAATATCTAATTTTGCAAAAAAAAAAAAAAAAAAAAACCCCAAAAAAAAAAAAAAAACTCCATAGAACATAAAGAGAATGTTGAATACCTGAGAGCTTTCCAGTAAGTTTTAAAGTTAAAGGCTGTGTTAACTGGCCTAATACTGTGTTAACAGTCCTCGAGTAAGCCCATACATATCTCAAATGTCTTAAATGGCCTAATATTGTGTTAACTGAGCTGAACGAGGTGAGTTAGGCCTACATTATGGTCGACCTGTCAACTACCTCTTGTGATCCTACATCAGGAAGGGGGAGGTCATTCCTCTTATCATGTTATTGTTATTGACACTTTACCCAGCATGTACATACATTGACTGTGTCTTCCTTGATGCCTCTATAGTTGTTAGGGTGGATGATTGAGAATTTTTTCAAATGTCTCTCCATTCTCCTTATTTCTGGAGGATACACTCCTCTTGACAAGCCTTTACTTTGAAATAAATCTATCTTTGAAATTGAGCAAATGGTGGTTGTATATTTTTGTAACTCTTTCCCCTTCTGAAATCATTGCTTCTAATATAGGTATCGTTTGGGACGGCTTTCTTATTGCTTCTTAAAACAATTTTTTAGTATAAAAATTAAAATTTTTATACCAGAAAGCTGTTTTAAGAAGTAGCAAGAAAGCCGCCCCAAATGAAGCCATAGTCATCATATTTCGATATCAATTCCATCATGCGAACCATCACTAACCTAATCATTGATAGTACTATGATGATCTTTATTCCACATGGGCTATCCCTCAAGCATGAAGGATTCTTGTGTGCTGGTTGGTTGGCTGAAATTAGTCCAATCCGGTTTAGTTTGTCCAATCAAGGGTGGATCACATGATTTCCCGTCTGCACAGATTTTGGTGATTAGAATGGCATGATTATATCTATATGTTGCATGGATATTCCTAAATAGCCTCTGGCCAAATATATAAATATGCCTCCATATCGGCATTTTCTATTTCATCCTCTTGTGGGTTCCGAAAATTAGTGCCCCAGCCTCTCCGTAACCCCTTTCTTTTTTGTGTGGCCAGGAGAGTTTTAACAAATTTAAGTTTCGAGGTAAATTTTCAGAAGTCAGATTTGGTTTTAGATAAGATACTATCCAGAGATTTCGCACTGATTTTGCTATAACTTTATTATTTGAGTTCAAGTTTTCTATAGGCGCAAGCCCCTATAATTAATTACCCCTCTCGATGACGAGAAAGAACTTTCGATTAAGGCTAGGCATTAGAATAGATACATAGTATGTAGCATATAGTAGCAGCAATTTTAGATGTGAAACTTAATATTTAAATTTAGAAATTCATCACCTTGCACTTAAAGCGGATGGTGGAGGGAATGATGATGAACCCGATCAAGATCCCATAGTTCTGTCATCTCGGGTCATCATAGTCCCGAGTCTACTTAGTTAGAGGAGGTAGTTGACCCAACCTGGTCGAAGGATCCTCGTCGACAACCATGTGTTACGTCATCTAAGAGTACCTTGTAAACTTGGGGTGAATATTTGCCTAAGGGGACATATTTGAGTCCACCTTTGCTAACAAAATACTTTATGTCCTATCGATCATACCCAACTGATTCATTGCTCAAAGATTTAGAGTCATTGGGGAACATATGGGCTCTAACTATGATCGTAATTTAGCGGTATCATTTGCTAGCAATAATCACCCGGTCAGAGGGTCCCAGTCATAACCGTTTACATGTGGTGTCATTTAACTGTGAAACCACAAGCTAGATGACATTTGTCATGTCCTTACTAGCAAGAGATAGTTTGAGAATAAATTCTAGTTATATCCTCGACTAAACATTCACTCTTTCTGAATTTGAGTGATTTTCAAATTTATCCACCTAGACAAATTGTTGCGGAGGGTGAATGAATTTTTTTCTTAAGAGTTAAGTGGTTTATTTCAATTGAATATCTTTAATTTTTAAAGAGTACATATTTGAATGTTTTATTTAAACTTGAGCCCCGAACAATTAACTTTGAAATTTGGGGCATTTTTTTGAAATTTGTGCGGACGCCTTCGATTGAAATTTGCATTCAACACAGCCATCATCGATGTGACATTTTTGTCACTTTAAATGTTTATATTTTATATGTATGGGACAGAACCTTGCATTGGGTACTCATACACACATCCACACACGTACCCATCCATACCAAATTGGTATAGGTACGCTCATGGCCTCATAGGTGGGTACTCAACATCGGGGGATAAAACAATTTACATTGCTAATCACCGCATGTCGTATATTACCGCAATCCTCACTATGCAGTATGCAACACTGAACTGTGCTGCGAACACAGTAAATTCTGATACGCGGCTTAAAGTTTGCTGTCAAAGAAAAGGGTAAAAATTCTCAAGGACATCAATCCGTGGCGGACTGCGTTCAAAAAGCATGGATGGGTGGGTATGGCATCCCAAAAGTCACCGTGGGTGGGCGAAGCTAGCCCACATAGAGCATGGGTACCTAATGGGTACCCAACCAGGACCCCATGTAGGGCTTTAGTATGGGAGGCATTTTAAAAGTTTGGGATCCCCTCAGGTTGAGATTTTCTATTAACATGACCATCATCGGGGATATTTAAATAGGTTGTGTATCTTTCATTTGAACCATGTCAACTCTGACCGCCTGCTGATAGAGGATTGGGTTCAATTATTGATGTTGTGAGTTATCATATGGGTATTGAGAATCAATAATTTTATGCTTTTAGTAATGAACATTTCTTGTAATAGACTTTAATGACCTAATATGAATGTATAAAACAAATACATTAGTACACATTTCAATGCATGTGAGGGTGTTCTTGAAATATTCAAAATATGGTCGATTGTGCAGGTGATTATCATTTGGAAAATGCGCAAGTTTTCATTTAAAGGGCCTGTAAGCGCCTTCTGTCCACTTGTACGAATGTTGCGGATCCATCGGCGTTATTTAGAAGTGTGTTAGGCCTTATTTGTCGTGTATCGACGGTGCTATTTAGTTTATTTTCTCCAGTTCAGCTCGTAAAAGTGAACTTCTTGCATTCTTGCAAGTATGTTGTATGATCCGTTCCGAGTTCTCCACCTTTCACTTATAAATGAACTGATCTACTTGGCGTGACAACCTGGCACTACGAGTTGTCACTGGCACTACGAATTCATTGCTTTTGTTTACCATCCATCCACGGTTTTCACTGCAAATTCTCTGTCTCTGCTTGCAGGTGAATCGTAGCACTGTGCTACGAGCCACTTGTTGCTTCTTGCAGGCAGGCTGTCATGTAATGCAAGTTTTTTTAGGCTTGTTTGTAGGCCAGCAGTAGAAATTCAGAAGTCGCCGACTGTCGTATATAGGTGGGCTACATTCAACATAAATCTTCCAACATTGTATGTAGATGTCTGCATATATTACAAGTTTTCTGCTTCCGTCCGTAGACAAGTTGTATCCACAGTAAATTTCTCGTTATTGCCTCATAGGTGAGTTGCCAAATGCACTAAAAGTCCTTATTCTCTGCCTGTGGGCAAATTTACATATCCATCAAAAGCCTACTATTCTTTTTCGCGGGCAGGTTATGATATCCTTATTATGAATCCTTTCTCCCTGCTTGTAGGCTAGGTAAAATATCCTGTAGTTACTTTTAGATAGACTTATTTTCATTACGGATCCCCTATTTTGTTCAATTTGCATCAGGGAATATTTTATGTTTCCAATTTTCATTTTAATTGCATTTTATTTTGATTGTCCAATTAAGTTCAATTCCCTAAAATTTATTTAAGTCTGGTTCTTTGTGATTCAATTTGCAAGTTCGATTCTTTGTAATTTGCTTGAGTCTAGTTCCCTGTTAGTCTGAATTCGACAGCCTCCTGGCATCTACCCTGTTTAGGAGAATGTTTGTGAGTCTAGGCCTACCCACCACGTTAAAAAAGTCGTGCATGGTTGGTGTCAGGAGACACCGCAGACGTGGTCTTCTACTCCACCATGCCAAGAAAGGCGTGCATGGGTTGCAAGGGTACCTATGCAAAAGACTTGCAAATTTCCCCACCAGCTTGAAAGCGCGTATGTGTACTTAAGTCTTACCCTGCCACACTTAGAAAAGTATG